GGGTCCACATTAATTTTTATAATTGTGTATTTTTCTTTTTAGCTTCTTCACAAGTAAGTACGATTTTTAAAAATATATATTTTCTCTTTTATTCATTTTAGATAATGAACGGTAAGGAAAGGAAACACCGAGGTAAGTTCATTTTTCTCTTATGTACAAATATTACAAATGAAACTTTTTTTCTTTCATTGTAGTCATCGATATCATCGCGTCGCGTCATCTTCCAATATCAAAACCTGAGTAACTTTATCTTTTTTTTTTGAGAATAAGAATATGGAAGGGAAAGAATGAGATTAGACAGGCATGTAAATGAATGTGAGGGCTTCGTTAGAGAAGAGTGAGTGAGTTAGTCCTTTTCAGATCCTTGCTCATACGCAGACCTTACGAGTAGACTCTAAAAGCTTGGCCAGGAACTATCTTGGTGTCCGTGGCACACGACCGAGCCTTTAACAAACTTTTTGACACAGTTTGATGTGGATGATTTGAGTCTATTTCGTGTGTGCATGAGCATCGCGCCCTCCATGACTTCAACAGATTGATTTCTAGTCGTGCACGTGAATAGAATAGCCATCCTGTAGAATATTATACGAATAGACGTTACAGTGAATGTTCAAAATAAATATGTGCCGTGCAACGTCTCCTGAAAAGTCTTCGATGCGAGTAACATATTTTTAGCTGAGAAATGTAAATCCTGCCCCTATCAAATAATCAGATTTTCAAGACTTTCACATTAAATATGGTTCATACTTTTCGTTTTCTTCTTTCTCTCTCTGATCGATTAGTAGAAGATATTCAAAATGCACAACTTCAAGATGAATGTAGCGAAACTCTTTCTTTTCAAATTCGAAAAAGACAAGAATGGTGGGAAAAAGACAAAGAATTTGCAGTAAGATCATCATTCATTTTGATTGCAAGAATTAGTTTTAATTTCACTTGCTACAAATTTTTTAAATTTTTTATGTAAACACTTCATATATGTACCATAGCTTCCAGGAAGAATGTCGTACTGAGACGATTCAAATAAACGCCTTTATCGATCTATATGGTATTTAAAGTTGATCAGATAATACTTAAATATCGCCTTTAAGTAAAATTCTTCTCTTGTTAATTTTAGTTCACATGGATAAACAATTTTAATGATCCACAAATACAAGACCTTAAAACAACCATGCCACTCGATAACTACGGAGCAAAAACCTTAGCTACATTGGCCGTCTTGATTTTTGGTCTTGATTTTTTGTCAGGATGCCTTTTAATGAAGTACAAAATTAAATAAAAATTAAACAAGTGCTGATCTACTTTCCTCAAGCCTCGACGATGAATTCCCAATATCACATATATTTTGGGTGTCGGGTGTGGGTATGATCAGAAAGCAGGTTACGTTCACACCCTACCCTTATCAATACTATTAGGATCAAATTTTTTGTGAAATAGAATAAGTTATTCAATTTCATGACTAATATTGACATTCTTATATTGTTTATGAGTTCAAGTCCTTATTCTCCATTGATTGAACTCGACGCTTTCTTTTCTCAATTCCATCTTAGAGAATTTGACATAAACAAAGATAAGCGTTTTGTTTAAAGTCATTGCTTCATTGGAATTCATTTCACTTTTGTAACTTACTTCATTTAAACTGAATAAAAAAATATATGACAAACCATCTAAGGTTCTTACAGTTCAAGAAAAAAAAATCATTCAGAATATTCGAGCAATTGAATCGTAAATCGACATACCAGGAGACATTGCTGATGGATTGTTTGAGCTTGTTTCGAAAACTAGATCCTACATCTGTAAATATGAATGACTATCTGTAATCTAGACTTTATATAGCGTAAATCAACTGTTGATAATAGTCTCAACTAAAACATACTTGTGAAATTGGCTATCAAAGATAAAAGCATAATTACTATAATAAGTAATTTCGCTCGAAGCATCATGAAAGTAATGTCTCTGACTTCGAATACTTCAACTGAATCTACATATGTGAAAATTCGCTTGTGCAAAGAGTTCTAAAAGGCGTATCAACTTAATAAATGTATATAACTTCACTCTAAATGAAGCGTAATCCAAAACTTTTTATTTATTTGAAATAGGAAACTATTAACCCATGTGATGAAAACCGGGCAAAAACCGGCGGTGAACCGCGGTGAACCACTACTTTTCCCGTTTTACCGCGGTAAACCGGCGGTTTTTCTCGCTTTACCAGCTCCTTACCGGTTAACCGTTTTTTTTTAATGGTGAACCGCAGTAAACTGGCAATTTTTGCCAGTAAACTGCGGTTCACCGCTAAAGACTGATCCGGTTTTTGTGACAAGGGAAGTTTTTATTCATAAATACCAGGTTCGCCAACACTAATAGTAAAGGTAGCTCTTGTGGTTACAATACCAAAATGAAGCATTTTTTTATGCAAAAAACAATATCTAGCATTTCTTCGACCAGTATTCAAATTATTGACCATTTTTACGGACTTCAGATCAGTGAGATGTTTGGTTATTCCTTGACAATCGTTTTTTCGACACACTTTAAAACGATCGAATAATTGTTGCTGCCTTGAAAGCATTCTGTGGGTGACTCTTCGAAAACTATTATAACCGTAAAAACAAGTACGTCAGACAATTTCATAAGTCATCGTATTATGAAAACTGACTCTTTTACTTTCTTTTCTAAATAGTACACCAGCACGAATATTTATAAAGTCATGAAGAGAGATTTCAAAGAGCCAAAGTCCGTAATGCCGATCCAAACTTGAATAACTATCCAAAAAAATACTGGATGTTGTTCTTGGCGTAGGAAAAAACTTAATTGTTCTATTGTAACTTCAAGCACTACCTTCTCTGTTATGTTAATAAACTTGATTTTAAAGAATAAAAACTTACTAGTTTTCTCTTTCACATAAAAAAAATGTTTTGGTATATTCTGTATTTATACACTTCATAATTTATGCTGTTTTCTTTTCTCGCTCTCCCTTTATTGATGTTTTTCTGCGTAGGCGAAACATTCGATGAGTTCTTTTTTTTACTGCAAATCATTTGTATATCATTTAGATTTCTAATCTTTTTTCATTTGAACAATTTAATTTATTAAAAAACGAAAAACAGCGAAATAGTAATTCAACAACAAACCGTTGTTGTTTCCTTTTTGAAAGAATGAAAAGAGAAAGGAGTTGAAGTATGAACAGATATTTGTAAAGTCGCACTTTGAAACAACGATATTTTCGCATTTTTTGTCCCATAATTGACTTAATGAAAGCTCAAGTCGAGTAAAAACTGGTGAAATAAACTTTCATCCAAAATAAAAAAGAGATCAATGAACTCTCTTCAAAATTTCTCTTTTTCTTTATGAGATACTAAAAATATCAAAATAAAATATTGCCACAAGTTGCAGTGCATAAATTTTGAAGAATTGTATTGTATATTGATGATTATTGAGTTTGTTTTTAGTTTTAGGAAAATCTTTTCTTTTGTTATGTTTTAACCAATTACATAAAAAAAATGATTAAAATTATGTTGTTAGAATGCTGCCAAAAAATGGACAGCTTTCTTTAATAACCGAGATCGATATTATTTTTATTGCGCTTAGGAAACTTCAAAAATAAATGACAACTTTTTAGTTAGATGATGATTAAGAATTGGGTTTTTACATTTTGTTTACAATTGTTGTGTGAGATGTACCTTTCTGTATGCACACTCGGCACTTTGTTGTTTTTGAAGCATTGCCTTTAAGAAGCAACAACTTTCGCTTCTTGTGTAAAAGGTCAAGCAAAAGAAACAGTACTCGCATAAGAGTTGTTGAAAAAGAAACAGGCACCATGACAATTTTATTAGTTTAATTACCATTTTGCGGTACATACAATTTTTGTTTTCAAAGATCAAAATATTTCTTACAAACATTTTTAAAAAGACGGCACTGGATAACTAGCTTCTTTGTATAACCATAATGAACTTGAGTAAAAGGTGCCATATCTAGGATTCCATGAACTAGATCGTATTCGAGTAAAACTTGAATCTGAAATGCGATATGAAGCGCGACTCTCGGATTTCGAACGAATATAGTATCTCATAAAAAAAAGAATAATCTTCTGTGGAGTCTATCGTGAATCACATTTTTCTCTAAAGATGTTTACGTGTCACGGGAAAAAAACACTTTTTGTGTCGTTTGTGAATCGAAAATATTCATTTCCATCAGTTAGCTGATCATAGTTAAGATCAAAGTACAAAATAGCCATAATGAAATTCGTTACTAACAGAACTCTATGAACGTGTATCAATATGATTCTGAAAAACTCTTTTGATTGATCCTTTAATTATTTAAATGATTCATTTTCTACCATCAGCTGTATTTGCAGCTGTTTGACATATGAGCAAAGAGAATGACGCCTAATTTACCTGGCTTTTCTCGTTTTAATTATTTCAAAATGAACAACTGGCGAAGTCCTGATAAAGTCATCTCATTTTGACGCAATCTGATAGCGAATGAAAGTTTTCCGAGAAGAGTGAAAAGAAACGCTATCAGTTTCATCTCGATACTTTGACCACACGTTCGAACCAGTATTTTTTGAGCTTCCGCTCTGAAGATCATTACAACAGGAAACTTTGAAGTGTACTTGAGACTGTCTCACCAGCTTTGGTTATCTGGGGTAAAATAAGAAGACAAAATCGTCAAAATCGCATGTTACTGAAGATGAAGGAGAACTTACATTGAATATTCAAAAACGTTTGTATCATTTGAAGAGATTGATCTCTTTGACGAAATTTGAACGAGTTTCAAACAATTTATTGTTCCCTAGAGTATTTCGACACATAATATGGGCATTGTTATAGGGAAAGACACGCAAATTATGAAAGACAAATGCGTACGTGCATATCTCATTAATCAGGATATACATAAATATAGTTTCTATAGTAGCAATTTTAATTAAAGTATATGAGATCATAGCTGACTGATTTTTATCTTAGTTCGATAATTAAATCAAAAAACTAATCGAGCATTTTCATTCGATGGAGACTTCAAATCAACTTGAAATGATATCTAAACTACGACAACGTCTTTTACGCCTAATTAAGTTAGGTGAACCAAATGAATTACGTTCAATAGCACAAACAGATAATGATAATAATAATGCAAGACCATCGATTGATCTAACAGCATATGTTGAAGAATGTGTCCGATGTCTTTTCAATACTTCATCTTCAGTTGAAACGTTTATTCAAGATGTACAACGAATATTAAATGTTACCATTAAAAGTAGTTTAACTCTTTTTCTTGCTGAAACAATTCCACTAGCACATCGATATCTACAACAACGTCAATATGACCCATTGTCATGGGAAACATTTAAAACAATTACATTACAAACATCACTATCTGTAAGCTGTTTTTTTTACATAAAAATAGAGTTTATAAGTATGAATTTCCAATGTTTAGAATATTAATTCTAATACGACTAATCAATCAACAAATATGACTCGACTTCCGTCCCTACAGCAAGCATGTTTTCGTCTTCCACCATTATGTCCACAACTAATTGATCTTACTTCATCAGTATCAAGTCGTTCGATACAAGAACAATCATATATAACACCTAATGTACGAGCAGATGCTAATCCATATGAGCAAAAATTAATTAATCGTTTTGCTCGACATAATTTTTATTTAAATGAATATGGTGAACATTTATTTCTACACACATTATATACATTTCTTAAATATATTATTCGACGTCTTCTTTTTTTCACTCAACATAGAATTGATACACGATTGTTAGATTCAAACATATATGACATGACAAGTAATGTACGTGAACAAATGCGTTTTCTATTTGAATTAAATAAAGTACAAAATGGCGAATCAAATAATAATCTTAGCAATGGTATATTTCAACGAAAACCCGAATCGACTAGTATAATTGATGAAGAGCAAAAACGAACACGAATACGTGATTACCAATCATCAGTTATTGAACAATTACGTCAAAAAGAAGCGGATGAAACAGCATGTCTTGTTTTACGTCAAAGTCGTTTAAAACGACAAAAAATATCAAATAATAATCGAAACTTCATGCCAACTAGAATTCTTCGAGCTAGTTTACAAGAACTTATTGCTGTCATGGAAAGTGAACCAATATTAAAACGATCGAAAACATTATTATTCGCTTATGCAAATAGATGATTTCATTTTTGTTTTCTAATATACCTACCATATTAGTTATGTATCATTTTTTACCTGAATAAATCAATCAGAATAATGGTATATTTCTTTATGTAAATCATTCAAAATAGAATTGCATTCTATAGACCTCTGTCGATCAGCATGTGAACTGGTTACATTATAATCATTCAGCTAGATGGCTTCGTTGCACAATGTGGCGTGAATGGTTGAGAATGAAAGTAGTCCAGTACAACGTACATAATTCTTAATTTTGTAAATATTTTGTATAATGTTTTTCAATCGAATTCAGTATTTTCGACTAATCTCAAAAGTATTTACTCAACAGCGACGAGCATATATTCAAACACGTCAATTAGAAGAATTACAACGACTGTATAATTTATTGAAACATGAATCTTTATGTAAAGTCTTATTTTCCAAAATTTTATTTGATCATTTTTTCTTTGAATTAGCTTCAATGCATGGTTATTCTATCAAAATGGATCCCAATGCAATATTTTCTAATAATGAATTAAATTTACAAAAAATACAAGTTTACGGTTTTGATTTTGGTTTGTAATTATATTAATAAAATAAGTCCTATTTACTATTTTTTTCTGTAGATTATACTTTAGCACGTTATAAACCAGCATTACATTCATTGATTTATGATCATGCTAAAACCTTTCTTGTTAAAAATTTAAGAGTAAGATTCATTATTATTTCTAGAACAAAAAAAAATAGATAAATTCTTTTTCCAAAGTATCCGGATGATTTAATGAATTTTTGTTTTCGACCTGGCATGGGTGCACGTGGTCTTCATTTAGATATAAAACGTGGATGGTTAATGAAAGTTGACAGTTACCATAATATTCAATTAGGCACTGTTTATCGGTAAATATTTAATAAAAAAGTTTTTTTTTATAATATTTTAATTTTGTTATGAAGTGGTATGAATGCAATCTCAGATGAAGAAGTGATAGCTGCACATCATGGCACAAAATTGTCAGTTGATATCGTTGGTTATCTAGGAAAAACAACGAATATGTTTCAATTTGTTGATATTTTTTCCATTCCTGAAATAACACTCTTACGTGATGTTACTCAAGTATATCAAGTAGATTTCATTTGTATTTAAATTAAGGTTTGTTATTTTAGTATTTTCTTGACAACAATATTCCTTTTGGTTCAGAATATGTATTTTATGATGTTTCGGTGCGTTCAATAAATCCATAAAAATAAAATAATTAAGATTGTTCTTTTTTTTTTGTTAGGAAGCAGTTACTGCTTTTCATAAAAGTGGAATGATGCATCAAATAGTTGGAGAAGATGTTGGTGAGTTATATTTAAAATGGGTACATGAATGAATATTATTTAAAATTTAAATAGAAACCTATTTTGAAGAAAATGTTCGTTTAAAACCGTTTTTACAACGTCTTCATGATGCAAAGAAACAAATATTTTTAATAACCAATAGTGCTTATTGGTATGTCAATCATGGTATGAGTTATTTACTTGGAGAAAATTGGCGCAACTTTTTTGATGTTATTATATGTCAAGCTAGAAAACCATCATTTTTTGGTGCAGAACAAAGGTTTAGATTAATTTTATGTTGAATAAAAATTTATAGTTTATTTTTTGATTTAGACCATTTCGAGAAATAGATGTGAATAGAAATTCTAAATCATGGAATCGAGTAAATAAAATAGAACACGGAAAAGTTTATGTTGAAGTGAGTTATTGATATAGAAAAGGAAATTTTTTGTTTATTCAATGTTCGATTTGTTATAAGGGTAATCTCGCAGATCTTATAGAAATGACACACTGGAAAGGAAATGATGTTCTTTATATTGGCGATCATATTTATGGCGATTTAGCAGTAAGTTTTTCAATACTTAGATGACTGATATTTAGTCGTGTATTATTAGGATTTATTTCTTAAATATGGATGGAGAACAGGCGCAATTTTAGAAGAAGTTGAAGTCAGTAATTTATATAAAATGATGCAGAAATTAAGAATTATGTGTTTTTTTTAATTGAAGGATGAAATAAATATAATTAATTCTGATTCATTTCAAAAAACAATTCACTGGGTAAAAAATGAATTTTGAAGAAAACAAAAAAATTTCTTTTCAATTATTTAATTAGTTAAATGTTCTTCAATGGCTTATTAATCAGTTACAGGTAAGATTACTTTAAATAAGCAAATACTCTACACGTCAGAATAAATCAATCTGTTTTCATTACAAAAAAAAAACAAATTTTTAGTCATCTGAGATTTTCGAAAAAAAAACAATGAGTTCTCATTAAATTGAATTTTATTGTGTAGCATAATAATAAAATAAAAATGTTAACTCTTTACCTGCCATCATGGTTTGAGAAGCGTCACAAATAAAACAACTTTTAAGATAGAATATTGACTTCTTCAGTAGACCAATAGTATAAAGCGATCGACCAGGTGCGCTTTCCTGTGTACAAGATAATTTGACAACGTCAGATGACATTGATGGTAACGACATGAAAAATCCTACTTTTCTATCTTCTGTGATTAGTGTGTGGAGGCGATGGTTGTGAGTACTGATAAATTAAAGGTTCTCAGACTCCACACGCACATCCGTCCGGAGAAGTTTTGCATCTATAAGAAGAAAAGAAAACAATCATAGAGAGATTGGTGATCGGCCACAGGATAGATGCCACCACTAAACATTTATATAAAATAACATACATCTATATTTCTCTTTGGTAAAATAGCAACTTAAAAAAAAGCGGTTCTTCTTTTTATTGACCTCATCATTGTCTCTGTTGTAAGTCATATATCTTGGTGACACAGCAGTAAATACAAAATATTTTTGCGCCCATTGGCAGGTTAGGGAACTTCCTACACTTAATGTGTGAAGAGTCTTCTAATATCCTGTGTTCTTCATTTTCTACAAAGTTCCTAAGATGAACAATTTCATTTGCCAATGGAGAGAAAAGAGTTAAATCGGTTACATTTGCAAAAGATCAGCAATAGAATAATGAGTTTTTCCGTCTTAAAAATACTAAAATTGTTTACGGTTCTGGACAAAAATAATTATCTTCCATGAAATTTTACTATTCTTTATGATATCGAACTGATACTTCGGATGCATACGTTCGACAAGACATCCTGATTGAAAACACCAACCTGCTTTCCATTGGTTCACATGTACTGGATTCATAATTTAGACATCATCTTCCTCTGATTATCATTTGGTCTCAATCATGAGAGTGAAAATTTTCGCTAACTATATTTTTTACAAAGAAAAGAACATGCGAATCAGTGAAAGGTGACTTGGTGCTTCCAATCAGGGTTGATTGTCGCACATATTCAGCCAAAATATCAGTTCAATATCATAAAGAATGTAGCATTTCATGGAAGGCGGTTACTTTTGTCCAGCATTGTACTAGCTCTCATGGAGCAGAGCTATGATTTGCCTAAGATTTACAGCAGATCATTGTCACCTGAAAATTATACTGAAAACATTGTTTTCTTGAAAGACAATCCATTTTTGTAGCTTATGGTAATTTATTTGATTTATGTTAAAGAATTATAAGATCATTTCTTTAAATTCAAGATCATTCCGGGTGCTGAAGCTGATGTTTTGATGAAGACTTGGATTACTGAACGAGAAGAAGAAAAGTAGAAACTATAAAAAATTGTTTCTCTTTTAATCCTTTTTTTTTCTTTGTTCAAGGGCAAAATCTCGTGATTTATTTAACCCATATTTTGGCTCTGTCTTTCGTACACATACAGTACCGACATATTTCCATCGACGTTTAGCTCGTTTCGCTGATGTTTATACATCAAATGTTTGTAATTTTCTCAATTATCCAGTAAGAACAAATTTTTATTAATTTTATTCTTCTTTTGATATTTATTTTAATATAGCTTGATTATATATTTTATCCTCGCCGTGTGGCATTAGCACACGAGAATGTTTTACCAACGCCAGATATTAATTTACTTTTAATGGACACTGCTCGACATGCTATGCGTTTCGAGTCAGCACGTGTTCAATACGAAAAATGAATACAAAAGAAACAGATCTTGTTTTTGGCCTGATTGCTTTTCATTTTTATTTTTATGTTGTATTTTTTTTGTAATAGAATAGATATTTTTTTAAATATATTCTTCGTAAAAGAATTCTGCGACACTCCACAAAAGTTCCTTATTATTTTGTTTAATTTGGTGCTGAATTTAAGCATATGTATTTGGCATTATTATTAGGCAAACTTTAAAATTAAATTGAACAAATGAATCATTGCCATTTAATACCAGCAAAATAGTATCAAACATAAAATATCTAACTGCAAAAAGTTCTCGGACATTCTCGTTTCTCTTCACATATTAAGTTTTCTTCAATTGCAAATAGTATCAATGGAAAGTACTTGAACAACTGACTATTGTAGATATGTTTTCTTTTGGAAAATTATTGCAGGTAGAGGTTACTCGCTGGAAAATGCTAGTGATCAAAAGGAAACTTTATAAAAAAAAAAAAAACTACTGTAACAGAGGAGAAAAATCGATCGTATTGCTTTTTTTCATGTCAAAATAACTAAAATATTTGAAAACTTCAGATTTTTATTTTGTTGCAGTTTGTACTGCATTGTTTGATATGTTAGAGAGTACGAAAATGTAATGTTTTGTCAAGTTTATTTTATTCTTTTTACTTGCTCCAATCTCCAAAACGAAAATATATATACAACAGTCTGATTTTCAAATGGTTTCTTTACTGCTATTTACAACTAAAGAAAACTTAATGGATGAATAGAACGAACAATGTTCCACAAAATTTTGTCAAGGATCAAATTAATTGAGGAATTTTTTATAGACAAAATAAAGCGACATATGGAATCTGTTTTTGATCTTGATGAAACATTAGCTGATACAGATCCAATACATTTTGAAGCATGTCAAAAACTTCTTGCAGAAATAAATTATCACAAACTTTATTATTTCGTCAATGAGTACAAGAAAAACTTCAATCAACAAAAGATATTCTTAATATTATTAAATATATTAAACAAAATTGAATGAAATTACAAAAAAGATAGAAGAGAAATTTCCTAAGGTTTAGCAACAGATGCTACTCGTCAAGTAATTCAATTTAATGTTAGGCATACTGAATATTGATCAAAAAAACATTTTGTAATGCTGTTCTTATTGCTAAAGAATTCGAAATAGGTGATTTTTGGTTCATTTTTGAATTATTATTTTCAGTTTCTTTTGTTCGTTCAAAAACAAGAAATAAATCCAGACCAGATATATATTTGGAATTGACTCGACGTTTGAATGTTGATAAAAGTTCATATATGGCTTTCGAAGATTCAACATCGGGTGTTCAAGCTGCTCTTGTTGTCCAAATGAAAATGTATTGAAGTACTGACATCAACAAACAAAGAAACCTTAGAACAATATGGAGTACAGAATAATGTAATTTCCAGAACGAAAATGCAAAGATAGATTAATAGAATTCAATGAAACTCTATTTTTTTTATTCGGTTTTATATTTATTTATTATTACATAAAGAGAACGTTATTTATTGATTTGATCTATGGTAGAAAAAAGTACTGGTGTACTTGTTTAGCTTTGATTTCATCATTTTATTTTGAAGCCTATAGTTGTGTGTAGTGGTTCAGTTCAATCAGATCTTGCTTTTGTAATATGTCTTTTTGAATTCTCTAAACAATTGATTGATTCCTTTGGTTTATATAAATTAGAAGAGTTTATATATATATATATATCAGACGTTTCAAACAAGAAAAAGAACAATAATTCATATAGTTATAGCTTAGAATATAAATGATTATAAGATTCAAGCAAATTCCCTTGGGGCTTTTCAATATAATGAGAAAAAGAAAATGCCAATTATAGTTCATTCATTCTTTCTCTTCTCGACTTTTTTTTCTTTGTTTCGTATATCCCTTTTTTCCTTTTTTTTTTTCTTTTTCATGAATTCATTAAAATCACATATGATTTTTTTCCTATCATTGAACATCGTATTGATCGAGAAAAGAAGCATCCGTTGTTTCTCTTCTCGTTGGTATAATCAGAATATTGAATAGAATCTCTTAATAAGATGACATTGAGTTGTTTTACTTGATTACTTTTTGTGTTCAATGTCAACGTCAAACAAAAAAATGTATATAATCGAAAAAACTATTCGTTCATACTTCCTTGTTGTTGTTTTCGACTGGTTATTTATTCATACATATAACCTAATTGGAATTCGAGCGACATACTATGCATCCGTTTCCGCTTGATAATCGAACTGTTTTATTTGAAAAAAAACTTTATTACATACATGTTCTCTCGTTTTGCGAATGAATCATTAAGGTCTATGACAAGAGCAAAAAAAGATAGCAACAGCGAAGCTTGATTTTGACATCATCAACTTAAAACAAGCAGAAAGGGAGATGACTGATGAAGATTATGAAGACGACACAGCAACAGTAGTAATACTACAATGATGCAATCACTCGTGCCGCCGAATGATCAGAGTACATACCCTAGGGATAAGTACGAGGCCAATCGTAGTAACCCAACGAGAAACTCATGAACCCCCCAAAGGATTTTTTCATACTAATTGTATAGTAAACGAACAAAAAATTCTAGCTGACCTTGTCCTAAGTCAAGCATAATTTACAAGTCTATTTGAATCTTTTCTCATTACATGTCAATGTTGAAATCATAGACAAATAGAAACATATAAGATTAACTTTTTTTTTCTCCAAAGCTATGCTTTCGATGATATCTTATAATGATTTTATATAGTGATTAAGCTATTCCTTCAGGTTCATGAACAGTGACGATAATAATTGACAAGTAGGTCTTTCACTTCACTTTCTTTTTTTTCTCTCTTTTCATAGATTTTTAATAATCTAAAGTATTAAGCTTATACAATGGTCAAGGACATATAAAATTCGACTAATAATGTAAAATCAAAAAATATATATTATATTCTTGTGATTTTCCATATAATTAAACAATAGATCATATTAAATGCCTATATATCTGTCTATATGTCTCTTTATTCTTTATGTTTCAATTTGCTTTTGTTTATATATGTTCACATTTATAGCGTCATTTTTTCGTCATCACTACCATTCGCTTTCTCTTCTTTTTTTTTTCTCTCTGACAAGAGAAGCAAGAGAGAAAAAGGAAGAAAAAAAACTGTTCAGTTCCATCGATCTCACTCGTTCGCTCGCTCGCTCGCTCGCTCGCTCGTCCATCATAATTGGCATGAAAATGCTCCCTCGAGAGTAGATGGGTTACACACACGCAAATAATTATTAGTACACACACTATCACATTCATTCTCACAACATAAAATCAAACATCACCGAGAATAAACGATTAAACCGATACATTATTCAAATACAATCATTAAGCATGTACTACGGATGGTTAACCTTGTTGCTTTGATCTTTTTTATCTTTATTATTTGTAAGTAATGATTAGATATTAAACATTTGATCGAAAAAAAAGTATGCTTCTATGTAACAAATATGATGTCAATTGTTAATAGTGCTCTGAGCACCATATGCAGATAGACAATTGTTCTTTGCTGAATGGTAAAGGAGTAACATGTACTGTATACAAAATGAATGTCATCTTATTGTTGAGCGTAAAGCAGTTCTTGAATATAGTTTAGTCACACAAAGAACTGATAGAATAGATAAGCAATGTTGACGTCAAACAATACGATCAGTCAAACGGCGTCAAGCTCGCTTCTCTATCTTCCGTTTTTTTCTTTTCAGTGTATTGATCACTAAGAGCTTTCTTGCTCTCATTCTTCGTTATCGCTCGAATTTCAATGACATATTGTTCAAGTGATTCGTTGATTTTTTATATAGAAAAAAAAAACCAAAATCAATTCGACAGACAATGCCGAATAAGGAGGGACAATGGACATTGTTCTAAGCATCTTGCGTGTTCTATTTCAAAGAAACTTTCTAATCAGAGTCTATGATCTTTCAGAAAAAAGAAGAAGTTAGATCATCATTTCTTTTCTTGTGTTCATTTAGAATAACTAAGGCAAAAAGAAAACAGCATGCAATGTCCGGTTCATATTATTGTTCTTCTCTCTTGTATTTCTCATATAGGTGCTCATCATACTTTAGCCATTGAGCAACAACCATTTGAATTATCTACTGAAACCGAACAAGAACATACTGTAACCAGTGTACTTATGCAATCAGTGATATTACCTTGTAAAGCTATTTTACTCATTATGGAACCTGAAAGAGTAAGATTTATAAAAAAAACAACATCAAAAATTTAGATTTCATTTCAATTATAATTCTAAAATAGGTAATGTGGTATAAAATAACCGATTCCGGTCAATCACCTTTAAGTGTTGGCAAATATTTAATAACCAAAGATCCTCGTATAAGTGTTGACTATTATAGTTTTGATCATGGACTTTCACCTGCTAAATGGGATTTACATATAACAGATATACATTTATCGGATGCAGCTCGTTATCAATGTCATGTCACACAAAAAGATGGTCGTATTTCAGCTCGATCTAATGTGAAACTTGTTGTTGAAGGTAAAAGCAAAAATTGATCAAAGGAATAATGATTAATTGAGATATACATATATATACACATATGTACTCAATGTTTATATGCAGAGAAAAAAGAGGACCAGACATATCTTATAGACAGAAGAGATAATCACGGTTGAGTAAAAGTTGGAGAGTAAACAGACATATTCCATGGATAAAGTTATCTCAAAAACAAAACCTAAGACATTGAATATCAATCGAAAACAAACGAGTGGAAAGATTATATTCTAAATTTTTCTAGACATAATTATAAGTATTCAACCAAGTGATGTTCTTATATCAATTGGTGATAAAACAGAATTTTCTTGTAATTTTACTGGACAATATCGAATACGACGTGATAAGATAACTTGGCTTAAAGGTAAAATTTAAAAGAAAAAGACGAAAAAAATTTTTTTTAAATAGATTTCTTATTTCATAGATGGTAAACCACTAGCATCTGATGCAAGTCATATAACAACATCAGCAGAATTACCTAATGTGACAGTAACTGTTTTACATATCATTGCATCTCGTCCAAGTGATAGTGGTTCCTATCGTTGTTCGGATGGTCATAGTGCTCAAAGTAAAGAAGCTAAATTATATTTACGTGATGTTAATTTACATACATTTCTTCGTTCTTTATCATCTTCAACTTCTATTTCAAAACTTTTTTCATATCGAACAGTTTTTTGTTTATTAACATTTCTTTTTCTTTCTTTACAATAATAACATTTTCACAGTACTCCTACCAAAAAAAAAGAAGCGAGTAGTGTTGATATCTTATCTTATTCATTTGCTCATCTTTTTGATAAACATAGACACACACACACACACAAACAGAGTCGAGATGCTTAACGCTGTCCAATCACGAGAACCAGCTATTCAACTTGAAGTCACATCACCTGAAGTTCGTGGTGAAGGTTCAAAACGATATGTTGATTATACTGTTAAAGTAAAAACAACATTGCCAATATTTAGTCAAAATGAATCTGTTGTTCATCGACGTTATTCAGAGTTTGAATGGCTGCATAAAGAATTAGAAAATGCAGACACAAAAATAGCTGTACCACCATTACCTGATAAGGCTTGGCAAAGACAATTGCCTTTTCGTAAAGATAATGGACTTTTTCAAGATGATTTTATTGAAGAAAGACGACAAGGCTTGGAAACATTTATTAATAAAATAGCTGCTCATCCATTAGCTCAAAACGAACGTGCTTTACATGTATTTTTATTTGAACCAGAAATCGATTTAACGAAATATGTACGAGGCAAAATAAAAAAATAATTGATGTTAATTAATGAACTTTTATTGCCTTATTATCTTTCACAATTTTTCAGTTCTTCTTTTTTTATTTTTTATTTTTTATTTAATACATTTTTGAAATTGTTCTATTAAAAAATGTTGATTAAGTTTTGATCCAATCACAACCAGACAATTTCGTAAATTATCATGATGATTTTCATTTGTAGAAATAAATTCATACATTTGACCAACAGCTTGAAGAAGTTTATAAGTTGATTCATTGCGAAGACAAAGAACACCCTGAATGAAATAATCAAAAACATGTACATATATATATATATATGAGAAAAGAATATAATTGAATGATATACTTTCATTCGAACGATTTCTTGAGTTGTATTTTGTTCGTTCCATAAAAGTTGAATCATCAGTTGATCAAGTTCATTGAAATCAAATTCACCATTTAATTCAATTGTTATAGAATTAAGTGTCTAGAAAATATTAATAAAAGACGGTGCGATTGAATCATTTATTTAAAATACTTGATGTCCATGTGGAATTGATATTGATGCTTGGTTGTCAATTTTTTTCAAAAGATAATCAGTTGGAGAGTGATTACTGTACGCATGTCGATCGAGTATAAGAGATAAATCAATACTAGAAATTTTATTTATTAGATTTTGAAAAAAGAAAGAAAAATAATGTTTACCATGAGCGTGTTGTTTCATAAACTTGAGCCGTAACGTTAATTGATCTAATATAGAAAAGAAAAGTATTAATTTATTGAAATAACTCATTATATCATACCGAACAAGTGCAAGCACTTTCATTTTTTCTTCTTCCGAGACCAAATCGACTTTATTTACCAGTACAACATCTGCCATCGCTACTTGTCTATTATAAATCTTTCATAAATATTAAATTGTTTTTCTTCAATAATCATATACCTTGACCATAATGCTTTTGCTTGATGACGATCATCTTCATAATTCTATATGCACAATGCAAGAAAACTAGTATCTTATTTTTTTTACTTTTAAACCATTGTGCGCATCGATTACTGTTATTAAACCTATAAAAAATTATTCAACTATTTCAGATTATAGAACTTGGTTTTTTTTTGCTACCATCAAGAATTAAATCACTATGTAATTCATCATCAAGCCAAAACATTTTGACAATTGGAAGTGGATCAGCAACACCAGTTGTCTCCAATAGAATATAGTCAAAATGATTTCGTCGTTTTTCAAGCAGTTGCTCAATAGCTTGTACACCTACATCTCTGTTTTTATATAGAATAACAAAAAAATTAAAAGAAACAAAATTAATCTTTTCTTTCTTTCTTTCGTTTGTTTCAATTTTATATCAATACTCTACTTGACAGAGCAACATAAACAACCGTTGCGAAGTTCAAGCCAATCTTGGTATTGTTGACGTCCATTACTATTATTGTCATCTTTTGTTGTTGTTAATAGAAGATGCTCCATAGCACTACCCTGAGCAAATTCATTTAGAATAACAGCAATTCGTTTTTGATGATTTTCAGTGAGAATATAATTGAGTAATGTTGTTTTACCAGCACCTATCAAAATATAATAATCATTAGAATAATGTTATATATATGTATACACAAATTTAAGAACAGACCAAGATACCCAGTAAGAATCGTAACAGGTACTTTAGCAGATAAAACAGCTGTATCATCGACTAATGTCGGTATATTATCATCATTATTGTCGTTTTCCATCTAAATCAATAAGACTTTCAATATTATTCTAGCGCAAACGTCATCAATCAATTCTGCTTTTTTTTCTCTCCTTAAAAAAAGGCATTAGAAGTATGGACTTGTGTTTTTTTTCTGTTTGTATAAGTGAACGATACATTAGAAGCATAGAAAAGAAGTAAGATGTTAAAAAACACTTTTCTGTCTGCGAATGTTTATTTTATTCTATGTGTTTGTTCTCAACTTTATAATTTCTTTCAATCTAACTTTACTATATACCATTGATCTGGTTTAAAAAAAAAGTAAATTTCTATTAGTATTCGAATACACCATTGGATATACAAGGTTAGACTAAAGCGGCCTCTAAAAGAAACAGAGATGGCAGAGATTAGCGATTGATTTTTAATTTTTTTTTCTTGTTTTAGAAATTTTATTTTTATAAATAATTATGTCAGGTTATGTGACTGTTAATCGTCTTTCACTCGTTCAATTACATAGTGAAGAACGTAAACAACAAGCTCATTTAAAAAAAATTGCTGAAATGCAACGTCGCGGTGGTATAGATAATCGTGAACCTGCATATTTTCCTCATCTTAATCAAAGTTTGAATAAACAACAAAAGCAAAAAGTTAGAGAAATTGCCATAGAAAATTCTGCTAAATCAAAAAAATTAATCGATATCATGCAATCAAAAGCAGCTTATCCACCACCACCACCATTTCATCTTAAAAATTCAAATCGTCGTCGTCCAACATTAACTTCATCACAAGATAATGGAGATTATGTTGAAAGAATTTCAAAAGTAAAAGGCATATATGATGTACGTAAATGGAAACAAGGCTTCGAAGAACATAAAGAACACTTAAAAATAAGTAAAAATAATAAATTATTTACACCACGTGATATCGGTATTAATCAACAACGAATTCAAGTTAATTCAGTAGCTAATAGCAGAAGATCAACAGTTTCATCATCGACACATAATATGCATCATTCATTTAACAATAATAAGTGAATTTGAATTGTATTTTCTTTTTTTCTATATGGCGTCATTTTTTCCTTAGGAATATTAATTTTATTCGTTATGATATGAAATCATTTGAGAGTTAACAAAGTTATCAAAATATATATAAAATTTTAAAATATTGTCAAAGGTTTAAGTGCTGTTTTTTTTTTCTGTCTATAATGATCGACGAAGGTATTGATTAATCACAAGCAAAAACTGATGCTCGAAGGTGACTTAAAAAAAAACAATTAACTTTTGTTTTTATTTCTAACACATTCCTTGACAATGACATAAGTACATAAAAGGTGTTATTAAATTGAAAATGCAGATTAGGCAGAAATATAAAAACGGTTGCAGATGTAGTTTTTTGAATTTATATTGCATAGAATTTCATTTACTAGCTTAAATATTAGTACACGGAGCAAATCTTTCGATTAGTAACCATACTCAATTATGCATAGTCGATTGATTTGAAGACATGCGTTGAAAGTTTTTTTTAAATTAAAAAATCTATGAGTTAGGTTACAGCACTCAATACAGTGATTATCAACTATTTCGATCTATCAAATGTTTTTGGATATGATTGTTTAAAGACATAGAACAAATAGATGAAGTGATAGCAAGTGACAAATTCTGGATGCATAACATATAAATCGATTCAGATTTTTCGAACTAAAAGAACTACAATTGAACAATCTTCATTTAGCTACAGTTTGGCGCAGTAATTTAGTCTTAAAACAATGTTTCTAGAATATCTTTGAAAAACTGATAGATATGAAAAGAATGGAGGCTTCTAATCACCCATACTATATCAATTGTTCCTCACAAACTACTCATTCACTCTTCGGTTACCGACAAAAGATAAACATACATGAAGTGCAGCAATTGTATACCATGCATACTTTCGTTTTTTAACTCAGTACGCTCTCATGAGTCCTAGAAAAATGGTGATGTGGAAAACTTCTGCTGTTTGACATTTGCTTTCACAAAAAGGTATCTAAAAAGCATGCATTATAAGTGATTGCATTCGTTTCACGCGATGATAAAACCCATGATTCATATATACTTCGTTGATAACCAAAGGGTTAATAGAATGAGAAGAAAAAGATTAGCCGCTAGTGCTTAAAATATCAAAAACCATTCTGCTAACGTCCAACTACACATCCAGAAAGATACTTGCATTATTCTGCATCAGAACGTAGCATAATTATCTTATGTTCACCTTATTTTACACATAAAATACTATATATTTATTTAGTTACTCAATCTAATTGATAAATCTCATCAATCTAACAGCTCCTAATCAATTACGTCGACTGTCATAATCAAAATGATGAATTTTTTAATCAAAGATTATTTGAAAAATAGCTCGAACAAATATCTTCAAGCCAATCGATTATGTGCAATTAAACATATCTACTAGCTCAAGTATACTCATGAAGCAAAAATCTCATTAAACCTTTCCTGTAGCATTTTATCTGAAAAATTCACTACTTTTGTGATGCTCTAAGTAATTTGTAGAAGTAAGAAGAAAACGAATCAACCATATAGAATGATTCGTCTCGAATTCCGGTCCAACTGATATCGAAGAAAATCAAAGTAACATCACGATTTGTCAAGTCAATGGAATTTTAACAATAATTACTATTTTGTGATGTATGTTACACTGCATGTTGTCCTTTACTCAGAGAGAAAAAAAGCACGTTCCTAAAATATCACTGATCAATATTCCATATAACCAACACTGACAGGTATTGATTTTAGGGTTACTGATTAGGATAGATTGCGGCGACTAAGTTTTTCCACTACTTTTCTGTTTGTTTTTTGCTGTAAAGAAATTTTTCTCATCTTATTACAGTCCCAGTAAACATAATTTAAATAGTTAAATTACATGAAAATCAGCAATCAAATTCAAAACGATAAGCTTACAATATTTCTTTTTTTTTATGTAAGAATGATAATTGATTAGCAGTAGCTAAGCAAATAGTTCAACCGTATTATTTTTCTTTCTACCAAAAAATACAAATAGGCTTAAGAATATTCTTTCTTCAAAATCCTTACAGAAAGTCTACCATGGGTTAATTTTGAAATCCAGCTTTTATTTTGTATACTTCGTTGAATTAGTGATTCTGCGATGGAAATATGCATTACAGCATTAACCTTAGCTCTGTATTCAAGTAATATGAGTATCCAATTCATTATACGTGACTTTGAAAGTCATTCAGGCAGAGTAGAATCTAGAAAAATGACAATGTTCATGAACAACATTGATGAAGAACAACAACTGAGTGACAATGATTAATTAAAACAAAACTTTTTTTCAATTATTGAACGTTTTAATATATTCAAAAGTATCGTTATAGTTTGAAGAAAGTGATTGATTGTTGTTCTTAGAAAAACGAGTCTTTTTGGTTGAGCTAGAAGTTTTTAAAAATTGACTTTCTGCAAGACTTTTCACCGTTCTCCTTCGCTTTTAGAAACAATTGACAACCATAATTTATATCTGTGTCCACGTCAACTTCATCAATGCTTTATCTGCTTTCAAATAGTAGAATAATCTATTCATATTCATACATTTATTTATTCCATTATTCCAATGATTTCCAGCCAATTCACATCACTAGAGTTTTTTTGTAATCATAGATTAAAGTTTGATGGAAGTGCATAAAAGAAAAAGTCAAGTTTCCAAGATGCTAACAACTATTAATATAACAATTGTCAGATTTATCATCAATAAAAAACAATATCAGAAAATATTTGATGAACTGTCTGCTTTAGTTCAATTTGCAAACTAAAGAGATTAGTAAGAGAATTTAATGTTCTGTGATTAGATTATGATTTCTCATTTTTCAGAATAATAATTGTATGAATGTGATCAGATATTTATGAATGTGGTGGTAGGTAGCACTGCCATGTTATTATACATGTCAGTAGTTTATTCTGAAGGAACGATTTTTATAAACTTGAATTCAATATAATAACTACCGTTATTTAAATCTTTATTTCTTGTTGAAGAATGAAAGAAGAAATTTACTTCATCAATGGCGTGAATATCTTTCACGATACATTTTTATTTTAAACACAGTCACTACAATTATATGTGTAACTCGAATACTCACAGCACTGATTGAGGTGAAGGTTCTGTCTAAAGTAAAAAAGTGCCTAACTCAAGGCCACGTTCATTACATTATTGATAATTTAGAAGTATCTGAGGATGAAACCATATAGTTGGAATATTTTACGCATAATGATATTTACAATCAAGAAACTTTCTGTATTGTGTTTAAAGTATTAGCTTATAAGATAATTTCTTGTGTCATTGAGCTTTCAAAAATTGTTAAACCTATATTTGTCAATCTCTTTCTAATCTTATAACTAATGGAGACAAGGTTCGAGGAATATGTATAGACACAAATACATTTTTTCAACAGCATAGCACAAGATGTATGCCCAGCTAAAAAGACCTTAACTGACACGAATGTATTTCATTTTCCTTTGATACAGAACAATCAATCATTTCTACTGAAAAATGAAGATTTCAACAACTTTCAAAATTTGTTGGAGGGAATTATCAATATTAATTATGCATCAATGATGGATTTGGTATGGTTAATGGCTTTTCACACTGTTCTCGCATTGAGTTGGGTTTAAATTTGAAAAAACTTGAACCGATCCCATCTCTGTTATATGGAGTTGTATGTAGATCATAGATGGCGCCTTTTTATGACGGAACATAATTGATTCTATTGTCCACAAAGTTTTTTATCAATTGTACTAAGTTTGAATTCTATTTATGGAATTAGAACAATCGAATTCATATTTGTTATAGTGCTATCGAGGATTTCAAATTCAATTTTAATTGGTGAAAATTTGACCGCACGATTTCTATTCATTCTTGTTTCTGTTCTTTGTCTTATAGTTTTTGTTCTTGTTTTTTGGTTACTCTAGTTCATGAATATGTATCTGAAATTTGATTAGTTGCTAGGAGCAAAGTTTTTTTTTCCTTTATGGTATTTTTTCAAACGTATATTTTGTCTAACCGATTGAAAATGTTTAAAGTTAAAAAATCCATTGTATTGAGTGTTATAGAATCCTCTTATAAACACTTATCATAAATATCTAAACAATATTGAACACTATTGTTCGACATTATATGAGAGTTTTTGTAAACAGTGATATAGAAACGAGGCATATATATATACTTGATAAGAAGAAAGCGAAAGTATAAGTTGGACATTTAAGTTGATCCGCCCTGTCCCTTTTAATCAACCTCCACATTCATTATTTCTCTTGCTCACTGTCCATTCTTGATGATTAAAGGCAGAGAAAAAAGTGTTCAGCTATACATATAACGATGTTATTTCTTTTTTTTGTATGTACATATATGTATAACGTGAATCCCTAGGTGACATATAGTCGCACAAAAGGAACACACTTGAACATATACTCATACATGTATAAAGGTTCACTATACATCATCGTGTTCAGCAACAACAATGTTGACGATGAACACAAAAAAAAGGAAAGAAGAAAAAGAAGAAAGAACAAGAGAGAGAGAAGAAAAAAAGGTATGTGATGGTAATGATATCTTCACGTAACTACGGCATCCCAATCGCACAGCAGAACTGTATAGATCAATACAGAATAAATTTTTTTGACAGTAAAACGTGTCAGGTGAAGAAAAAAAACGACGTAGTGAATTTTTTTGAAGTATTTCTGTCGAAATTCAAAAATATGACAACAGCTGACGGTAGTCTATCACCTTCTGGCTATTTATCCAATCGACCACCGATTTCTTTTTCTTCCTATTGTTTCAAGAGTACTAATGGACTTACACATCGTCCTTTAGGTGAGTGTTACTTGATACATTTTTCTCATCGTTTGAAATTTGCATGGATGTGAAACGAAAGACAAGAATAAAGTTCATACTAATCTTGACAGCTGATATTCATTGTTCTAACCATATGGAGTTAATGAACTAAACATGTTGTTAATATCTTAGTATTACTTTTCTTTTACTTACTTCTACACGGATATAAAAGCTAATTAAATGTCGATTTTTTTTCGACATATGAAAAAGCAATAGCATACTGATTATTTATGATTGTATATGGGTTTGTGATCGATCCACATTTTTATAAGTATTCACTAAACAAATATGTCGCTCTCTTACTTGTTTAAAAGAAAAAAAAAGTTCACTCGATTGTGAATTAAATTTGAACGTGCCATTTAACACTCGCCTACGATATTGTCAAGTCACATACATTGTTCACTTACTTTGACATTTTTCATTTATTTTTTTTCTTTCTCTCTAGATTCGAGCTTGTTATATTTCTATCGATAGTGTCTGTCTGTTAGTTAGTCAGTCAGCCAGTCAATTCTTCTTCTCTTATTCTATTTTCTACCAACTTTATTTTCTTCACATGTTGTGCCCATCGTTATTGTTGTTGTCGTTCGATGCATCATAAAAAATATGACACTCATCAACAATCAACACCAATATCAACATCACATCATTATCGATTGGCAACAAGATCTTCAATACTTAAATTAAATAAATCAATTAAAGTTAAACGTTTAATTAAATCTTCAACATTAAGAAACGGTATAAATTCTTTATTCGATCTATTTATATTTAAATAGGTATTCATCTTTCTCTCATTAAACTATCAGATTAGAAGAAAATTGAATGGGTCATCACTACAGCATCGATGTTCATACAAGGAGTATGCCTCATTGTTTTTTCGATCATTATTATTTATATGTTAGTGATAATCTCCTAATTAATAGTGAGGATTTTTCTTTAGCAAAGATTAGTTTAGCTCCTTTGTATTGCTTTTGATCGATGATATTAGTGTCGATACCACATGGTCTCGATCTCATCCTCCTGTAGCAACCAATATATAAATAGCAACCGAGAAAGAAAAAAAAATGAATAATTATATACTTGAGGATAACGATTAGTTGGTGTGTACACACACATATATATATATTTGTATGATTACGTTTTGTTTGCACGGTTTATGTGTACTTTTATTTTATAAAAATATAAGTGACTAAGTTTCAAGAGTGTGTGCTGCTATGTGAGATTAACGGATAATAGCCTCTTTTGCTTTATTGTATTTCATGTTTAATATGTCTCTATTATATTATTTTCTTATCATTACTTCATTTTCTTAATGTGTCATTGATATAGACGAAAATCGATTGATCAATAAGCGGACTAGTGAATGTTATCAACATTCAACACCTTTAACAACTGGCAACATTGCCTTATTTGCACAAAATACACAATCTTCATCTCCACTTTATATAAATCGTCGTAGACAAACGAATCTTGGGAATATGACATCATATTCAGCACTTAAACGTAAAGCACAACGATCAGATATATCATCAAGTATATCTCGAGTATGATATTTCATTGAAACATTATATAATATTGATAATAGTTTCTTTTAGTTTCAAGTTAATCTTGAACATGTCCTTGGTTTTACATCAATTTCAAACTCAGTTGTTGGTCAAGATCATTCAACAATAGTTTATGCTGCTGGGTAGAATCATATTTACTTAGTAATATGAATTAATTATATACAAATTTTTTTTTCAGTTCTACTGCTGTTCTTTATGATATAAACACACAAAAACAAGATTTTATTATTAATACAGCTCGAAAAGCTATTACATCATTATCACTTTCACCAGACGGTCGATATTTAGCAACAGGCGAAGTAAATACTTGATTTTTTTTAATATGAAATAAAATAATTCTTTTATTCATATTCATAGTGTGGACATGATCCTAAAGTACGTGTTTGGGATTTAACTGGTGATAAAACTGTTTGTATTGAATTGGGTGATCATAAATTTGCTATTGATTCTGTGGTAAGTAGATTTCACATTGTTATATAATAGAGATCAATATGGTTTATATCTTCTCTCTGTGCCATTCTTTAAATAGAAAGCTTTCTGCTAATTGATTGTTTCTTCTAGCGAAAAAGAAAAAGAACATAATAGGATAAATAATTTAATTTCTTTTTCTTTCAGTGTTTTTCACCCAACATCGATCGTTTAGTTTCGATTGGTTCTTTACATGATGGAAATATATATGTATGGAGTTGGCAAGAGAAGAAAAAACTTGCTTCAAATAAATGTACATGCTCTGTAAGAGAATTCTTTGTTAATTTTAAATCTTTACTTTATTATTATCAGATTCGTCGTATTGCCTTTGCTGAAGATGGAAGTTATTTCGTAACAGTTGGGAATCGTCATGTAAAATTTTGGTACTTAATATCAACAGCTTCGGTATGATGACTTTTTTTTTGTTTGATTAGAAATAGAGCAATGCACAAATAGTCTCTGCCGTAGAGAATCTCAGCCATTATAAATGCTATAGGCCTAAAAGGTTGTGTGTGCATATCTTGTCAACAATGTAGCTAAGAGACATTAATCCTGTTTCGATTCATTTAGAAAACCTCCTTCTCAGAATTTCTCGAGAACGATTTGACAAAAAATTATGAAACTTTCAAGCCAGATAGATGTTGATATGTAGAACAAACGTTATTCTAGACTTCAAATTTCGAGATGGTCCCTCCAGAAAGATATGGAGGTAGCAAAGGCCAAAAGAGATCAGAAGTTTTCTTATTTAGCAAAACCTATGCTCTAGTTTTTTTCGATCTGCCATTTTTTTTATGACAATTAGTATTAAATTGAAGTGCACGGCTTTATTTCTTTCAAGTACATTGTTAAAGACTACCGAATTTCATAGGAACAATATTTTGAAAAGAGAAAAGAAATATTTACCTAATTTTACTAGAGTACTCAAAAGAATTGAGCCCCATCAAATATATGATGTAGTAGGAAAGAAGGAGCATACACTTAAATAGAATGAGAATTATGATGGATGATAATGTATGGCATTTTTGAATTTTATTACTTCGAATAAGATGAGCTATCTAGCTTAACTCATAGCTCAATATATAGCGTTATATTCCAACTATCAACTCAACTAGTTTCATTGAAGTTTATTGACCTTCTGTAATAACGTGACTTTTAATGTAAAGAAAAATCATCTAGTGTTCTTTTGAGACGGAAAGGCAGTAGTAATTGAGTGAATGAAGCTGAAACTCTCAAAAAAGCTATCTTTACAGTTCACTATTATTGCCTGACAGCTTGATAAACAAATTGTGTATTTATAGGATATAGTATAGCTATGATCATCGTGTTGATGAGGCGAAGGGTTCCATGACACCAAGATTCAAGCAGATGAACTCATTTTTTGTATAAAGAACGACCATAGACTGAATTTCAGTTCTGCTCTGAAACATGAAGAAGTAATCATGTATGTGGTAAATAGTAGTACAAAATTGAGTAGACAGTCCTTGTCAAGTTAACAAAGCTTGATTAGAAAAAAGATGCCATTCATTATAATGTTCTTTGTACTTGAACCACTGAAGCACAATTATGTTTCTGATCGACACACTCTTGATCAAGCATGTGCACAAAAATTTTTAAGCTTCCAGCATTTATAATGGTTGAAATATTCTATGATGAAGACTTTTGTTCGCTACTATAGATTAAGTTTTTTTCTTGATAATAGCTTGAGGTTGTACCATTACGTGGTCGTTATGCGATCTTAGCTGAACGTAAAGATAATTTTTTTACTGATGTTGTTTGTGGACGCGGTGATTGTGCTGGTATGACTTATGTTATAACTGCAAATGGACTTATCTGTCAATTTGATGAACATCGACAATTGCGAGGTGAACGTGATCTTCAAGTACTAAATGATTTAACAAAAAAAATAAAACGAAATGTATAATGATTTGCTTTTTGATTAGGAAAAAACAAATTGTTTGGCTATTGGTGATTTATATCTTGTTGTTGGATGTGTTAAAGGTGCTGTTTATATATTTTCACCACAAACTCTTGAATATATTATGTCACTACCTTTACCACATTATTTGGGTGTTGATATTGGTTTAATAACATCGATTGAGTATGAAATTCATATTCTTGATTTTGATTTTGATTTTGATTTTTTAATTTGTAGTCAAATAATGTATCCTCAACAACAAAACATGTCTTTTCCCGATACAATTGCTGTTTGCTTAGATGAAGATAAATCAATGGTAAGTAGGTTTATTTCATCCTATTGACTTTTTTTTGGATAATTTTTCTTATTTTTTAGTTAACATGTTTTTATAATGATCATAGTTTTTATATTTGGGATATAAAAAATGAACGATCAATAAAAAAACGTGATTCTCATATGTATCATTCAGGGTGTGGTTGGGGTATTGAAGTAAGATTTATTAGATGTGTTTTTTTCTGATTAAAAAAAAAAAGAACGAAATTTTCTTTAGACATATTCTCGAACAAATACATCACCTTCAATTCTTCGACATTTAACATGTATAACATGTTCGTCAGATAATACAATACGTTTCTGGTCATTAAATCATGGTGAAGCTGATTCATATTTTGCTCCATCACCAGCTGCAAATATATTTAGTAGACAATTAATGAAAATAGTCTATTTAGATGAAGATTATTCAAAATTATGTGACAGTCAAACAACTCAAGGTAAGAAATTTTCTTTTTGGAAAATAAATTGAAATTATCATATTCATCTAATGATTGTATTTATCAAAGATAATTTTTACTCTTAGGAATATTTTTTCAATGAATCAAAAATGAGTCAAAACTCATGACTAGATCTATAAATCAATCGACTGCAAAAGGAGCCTTCTTAGATATTCTCTTTCGAATTCAACGCTTATTCACGGTTTTTTTAATAAGAAGTTTTGTTCTAAAAGAAAAAATATAAATTTACATCAGAAAAATCGAAATTGAGATAAATATATCGAAAAAAACAGGTTGACGTTTCTGATCTTTCATAAAGGACACGTATTTTGTTTTATTTGACCACACATTTCTTCCAAACATTTTCGATGATTTCCGTCATCTTCTACTTGAAAAATATGTTTTTTCTGATCGCAGATCCCAGACTTTTCCAAGGAATTTCATCGTAACCAATTGCTTTTTTTTTGTCTAATAGAGCATGTGAAGTTGCAGCGTCTGTTTTTTGAATTAAGCTTTTCTATTATTGTCGAGAAAAAAACTACTTCTATAAATAACTAGCCATTGTTTGAGAGTTTTTTAAGGTATTGAACATATTATTCTTTTTCTTCGCATGAAAAGAAAAATTTTTTTAAAAATTGAACTAGTCTTGACTCGTATTTGTTAGAGATTTCCCGAAACTGTCAAGATATAAGGCATCACGACATTGTCAATGTCTACTAAAAATTTCATATAATCTAAATGTATCTGAAGCAAGATCGATTTTTGACGGCGAGCCTTCAAGCATCAGCATCATCTCATAAAAATAGATGGTAGACTTTTTATGTATTGTTTGTTTTTATCGATATGTTTTCTACCATTATTTTTTTTCTTTTACTATTTCACAAATCTTTAGAACCGAAAAAATTTCTTGAAAACTTGTCGCCAGTGACATCGACTTGCATTTCTATTTGTGACTATGGAAATAAAAAAAAAACTCGTATTCTACATTTTGATCTTCCCGATATGTTTACTCAATTGTTTTTATTATATGACAATACTTTCCTTTTTTTAGAACGACCTGAATTTGTCCCAAAAGTCGGTGGTCGTTGCATGAAAATGGCTCCCGATGGTTTATCATTAGCTATTGGTGATCGTAATGGGAATATTCGCATATTTGACATGCAAACATTCAAACAAATTGCACTTGTTGAAGCACATGATAGTGAAGTACTTAGTGTAGATTATGGTCAATCATCTGATATGAGTTTGTATTAATTATTTATTTAAAATCGAATTTTATTTTATTTTTTACTTTTTTTTTAAATTAAGATGTGTCTTTTTTGGCATCAAGTAGTCGTGATCGTTTTGTTCATATATTTGATGCATCAAAAGATTATCAATTAGTTGCAACATTAGATGATCATTCAGCAGCAATAACAGCTGTTCGTTTTACATTTTCATCTGTTACTTCGAATCTACAGTTAATTTCATGTAGTGCTGATAAATCATTAATATTTCGATCGATTTCTAAAGTAAAAATTTGTTTTATTAAGAATTTTATTTTCATAGAGTTTCTTTCATAGAATGAAAATGGAAAATATCAATTCATTCGTTCGAATAATATTGTTGAAAAACAAACATTTTATGATTTAGCTATTGATCATGCACGTGAACTTGTTAATACTGCTTGTCAAGATCGAATGATAAGGTAATTGTCTTTTTTTTTATAGAATTGTTTTTTCTTTATTTCAGCTTTTTGTTTTTTTAGAGTTTATAATACTCAAGATGGTAAACGAGTTCGAACATGTAAAGGTTCAATGAGTGATGATACTGGTTATTTAATTAAAATTGATATTGATACATCAGGAAGATATTTAGCAACATCATGTTCAAATAAATGTGTTTATATTTGGGATACAATAACAACAGAATGTGTTGCATCACTTTGTGGTCATAGTGAAATAGTTACGGATTTAAAATTTAGTCATGATGGACATCATTTATATACGATTTCGGGTGATAGGTAAGATTGATTTGGAAGTAGTATCCTGTTCTGATATGACTTTTCGTATCTTGATCCAAAGATCAAATGAGATCATGTGCTGAGTACTCGATCTAGTTTCAGGACACTATTTGAAAGTTTTTAATTGATTTTATATTGTTGAATTCAAATTTTAGTTGTATTTTTGTTTGGAATATTGCTGAATTAGCGATTGTACCAACAACTTGTCGATTACCATCGGTACCATTAGCGAAATCAAATGAACTTGAAATGTAGGTTTTTTTTCAAGTTTCATTTCTTTTTTGTTTTTTTTCTTTTGATTAAAAATTTATTAATTGTTTAGAACTGAAGTCGAAGAAACAGTTTCACAGGTTGAATTTTAACAAATAATTTTATTGAAGCTTAATGTTTTGTATTCATGTAGACACCGAGTATTATTGAAGAACATCAACCACAAACAAAACGTCAACGAAGTTTATGGGCAACTACCGAACCTTGTTTACCGGTATTTGATTATTTCAAAATATTTTTTAAATGATGATTATTGTTTTTTGTAGCCATTTGAATCCAAATTAATTCGTCCACAATTACCAGATATTATCACTGAAGAGTAACGATTATTTTTCTTCTTTAATTAATAAAAAAAAAAACTTTTATTTAGTTCATCTGATAAAATGATTCGTTCAGCAAGTTCACAAGATGATGAATCAGTTTTTCTTGATGAAGGTTCGTCTCGTTTTTTTTTTGTTTATTGAAATAAACATACTCTTGATTACTTGTATTAGATGATGATCCAACAACAGCTAATACTGATAGTTCAAATGGAAAAACCAATTCATTTTTTACTGAAAATTATGATCACGAACATTCAACAATCAATACAACACTTGATGAGGAAATTTCAACACGTCAAATTCAACGACGTAAAAGTGTTTCATCTCGTTTTCGTTCTGTATCAAAAGAAATAACGTAAGAGACAAAAAAATTATAATTTTAATACAAAAATTTCTTTTTTTAAGAACCGCTGATACATTATCAACCTCAGCAAATACAACACAAGAAGATGTATCTATACCTATTCGAACAAATAAAAATGGACGATCGCAAACAATGAATACTATGGAACCAAAAGCAGCACCATCGAAATCATCAACAACACGAAAAACTCGTGGTAAGTTGCCGGTCATAGTTAAGTCAAATAGCAAGCGAAATTCATAGATATGAATGTAGCTAGATCATGCTTAACTTGAGCATTGAAGAAGAAGAATATTCCAAGATAAATGAGTAGCATGAAGGAGTCATTTCGAGCCTATTAGCTGCCATAGCTGAGTTATTGCGTTGTTCGATTTGTATCAACAAAGTACAGAGCATAAACAACAGACTTCAAACACTTCATAAGATTTCAACATATATTAAAAGTTATAGCTCAAAGACTTGTTAAAGTTTCATAAGAATTCAAGACTGATGTCCTACTATTTCCCTTCTCAAGGTACTTCTTTGATACCAAAGTCACATCAATCATAGAATAATCCTGAGCAAGTGATTAATGGCTATTTCTCTTGGCCACCCTGCCAATAGCATGCTAACTACGTTGTAACATACATCTGTTCCTGTAGTTAGTTAGTTAGTGTGTATGAGGAGCTCAAACAATTGAGTGTACAATCTCTGCACCAGGTTGGTCTTCTATCTATAGCTACAGCTCAGCCATACGCGACGAACTAATAATGCAATAGGATGCAATTCCTTCTTCTGAGTTCTTCCAATTCGAATGGTTAATGTAGAAAGCCTGTTATACAATGCTAGAACTTTATTTTATTCCATCCGTATGCCTATACTTTTTAAATATATATCCGGTATTTGTCTTTATTAAACAAACTAAATATAATGAATATATTGAATGTTACTTTTGTTGATTTTAACTTAGGTAATCGAGCTCAATCAGAAGATCGTTTTCGTTCATCAACTCTTTCGCTTAATAATGCTACTGGTGATACAACATCATCATCATCATCTCATTCCTATTTGCCATCATATGCAGCACATACATCAAGTTCAATGAGTAAACTGCGCGAAGGTATAACATCATCAATACCACCAGCTGTACCTATGTTTTTACCATCGTCGTCTACTACATCACTAGTCATGAATTCTCAAACACGTCGTATTCCATCTGCTGCTTCATTAGATACTCGTTCGATATCATCAAGTAAAAATATAACAAAATCTCGTTCAACTCAAAATCTTATTCTTCCAACAACAACAATGCAACAATCAAAAACTACAACATTTCGTCGAGTAAAAATCTCTCGTGTTACTCGACGTCCACCTAATTTACCAACAGCATCTACGATACAATCATCATCATCATCTTCTTCATCATCAGCATCATCAAATACTTCATCACCAACAAAAAATAATCAAACAAAAGAAAATCATGAGACAAAACAATATATTCATCCTACATCATCATCTTCATTGCAGGAATCTGTTTTACCATTACGTGAATTAGATAATACAACAAATGATCTTATGCCAAAATGGGCACAAGATTGTTTTTATCGAACAGTTGTACTTGGTTTAAAACCATTACTTTTACAAGATATACCATCATCACCAAATAAACCAACAAAAAGATCATCAAGTACATGTTCTATTGAAAGTTCAGATTCATTAGAAACGACAAGTGATTTACAAGCATGCACATTAAATGATAATGCTAATAACAATCAAAAAGAAATTAAGGTACGACGAAGTATATCAATACCAGATTATAGACAAATAAAACAAACACATAAAATTTCATCACCATCCTTATCCGAGACAACAATTAATGATACTAAACAAGAGTAAATCACAAAATTTAACTTGTATTATTGTTTTTTTCTTATTTAATATATTTGATTTTAGTGATTCAATTATGAATGATCATCGTATGCCCATTATTTATCATCTTGTTGACGATCTTCATAAACGTCTTAATGAATTAGAGAATCTCTATTCATCAGTAAATAAAAGATCCCACCAGATTTGGTGGTCTATCCTCAATTAGGATGCCTAGAATGAATTTCGGCGCATTGAATGATGTATAAAAAATTTAAGTTTATGGAAACTTTGATGCGTGAAAGATTGATGCACTGGTTATAATGCTTGAGAAATATTATAGCATACTCATACACTCTGTAATCCATAGGTTGTTCTATGATAGACTTACATAATTTTTTTTAAGTTCAATCCGATACAGTTATAGACGCTCTTCGATTTTCTATAATCAATAGTTCTCATCATTGCTTTTTTTAATGCCTACAAATGATGTCTTTCTTAGATCTAACTTATTTATTGATTATATGATGTTCCATTGTGTTCAACTGTGTACTATACAACAAATGAGTATCAATGTGAAAACTTCTCAAACATAGCATATTATCGAACTCTGTATGTTTTACATATAACATTTTGTAGAACAGCAGGAACTCATTCTGAACTTGTAAGATTATTGTCTAGAATAGGCTATTTTCATATGTTAAGAGAACTGGTATATTGACGATATCTTAACAATACTTAAGAGTCTTCTTTAAAATTTTCATGTACAAATAATTGGCATAGCATTCTTGATGCACTAATATAAATAACTTCTTGATAAATGGAAAAGAAATATGTTTGACCTTTAGAATCTAGAAGTAGATACGAGAATATGGACAAATTTATTTTTGAAATGAGCATATGATAGTTATAGATTCTTGTACACCTTCATGCAAAAATCAAATTAAAATACTTGGAATAGAAATAACAGACCTCATTTCTGCAATTGAATAACCTTATTCTGTCTAGAAGTGTGAAGACCAAAAAATTCTTTTTCATTCATCAAGAGTTTATACATTTTAATTTACCATAGATGTTGTGCTGATTATTTGTACATAAGAATTTTTAATAGGACCGTTGAGTATTGTTAAGATGTCGTCAATACATTGATTCTATTCATAGGAAAATAGTCTATTCTAAGTGACAGTGTTACAAGTTCACAATGAGTATCTATTATCCCAAAAGTTGCTCTGCATCAAACATGTAGAGCTCGATAATGTGCTATGTTTGAGAAATTTTCATATTAATACTCATTTGTTGTGTAGTACACAGTTGAACGAAATGGAATAAAAAATACTCAAGGAATAACTTAGACCTAACTACCACCGACAAAATTAACACAACACGTATTTTTGATAGATATTTTCATTAATGGTCAACCACAAAAAATATAAATTGTTCAGAAAGTTTTTTCGTCTATAGAACTTTGTAGAGCTCGTTTCCCTGATCATTTTGGTGAAAAAAAATATTCAAATTTACTCGATAAATAACGGACCTTGGCTGCGAATACTCAAAAATATCATCTACTAATCAGTAGTAGTCATGAATAGTCGAAAGTTTTGAGTATTTTGACTCTAATGCCGTTATTTGTTGAGTAAATTTGAATCTTTTTTTACTAAAATGATCAGCGAAACGAGCTCTACAAAGTCCTATAGACAAAAAACAAAATTCTGAAAAACTTATATTTTTCCTGGTTGACCATTAATGAAAATATCTATCAAAAATACGTGTTGCGTTAATTTTGTCGATGGTAGTAAGAAAACGAACTATTTTTTAGCATGAAGAAGGTAATGATGAAAACTATTGTTTATAGAAAATCGAAGAACATCTATAATTGTATCAAATTGCATTTCAAGAAAATTGTATGACTTTATCGTAGAATATTCTATGGATTACAATATCTATGAATACCTTATAATATCTTTCTAAGCATTATAATTAGTATATCGAATCTTAGCACACAAAAATATTCATAGATCCTGATTTCTTATATATTATGCGATGCGTCGAAAGTGATTCTATAAAATCACATCCATAATATCCTGTTTGAGGAGCGACTAGAAAATTTAGTCAAGTTGTTTATTATTATTATTTTTTTTTCTGAAGGTTACACAAAGTTCAGATACTCGAGATATAATGTTAAAGCAATATATTGAACAGATATATACTGATCTTCATGTACGTATTACAAATAATCATCATCATCAACAGCAAGAAGAACAAGATGAAGAATGTTCAACCAATACAACTGTTGTTGTTGTGACTGATTGATATCTTTAGTTGTCTTTATTATTTTTCGTGTCCGGTTCTTTGAGAACTCGGTGACGTGTTTCTCTTTTTTTTTAAAATTTTGTTCTTGATTATCTTCTTCAGGGATGATCTTTCTATGCAGATGCTTGTATGTTTATCCGTTCTTGATTTGCTTTCTTTTTTTTTCTTTCATTTGCTAGATTTAGATACGTTCACTTTTTTTTTCTTCATATCGGGAATCACGTATAATTGTAAATACGGTTGTCTCGTATTCTTTTCTCCCTTATTTCTTCAGTTATATACATGACACATTCAATGCTTTAGGGCTTTCAGTGTCTTGTCTATATATATGTGTGTGTGTCATTGTCACTTTCTGCTTCTATTATGATATCATTTGATGACTGATGATCATTTCTTTTTTTTTTTATTTTTCCCAAACGATAAAAGAAAAGTTTGTCGATGAAAGAAAATTATTGAAAAAAATGAATTCTCTTGCTCAAAAGAAAAAGAGTCTAGCGTTTACAAGTTAATTTCTTAGTGTATTAATGCATGATATGAAACCATGGAGAAACGCTGATTATGTTTGGGGGCGTTCGTCTTCAATGCAAAACGTACTACTTTTTAGTACATGAACTATACTATGATTCAAGTTTCCATCATTCGTTTGAAAAAGTTTAAATCTGAAAAAGCAAATCTTAGATTATAATAAACGTCAACATTGATGAAATATTAGCTCAAAGTCTATTTTGTATATATTATATTCCAATTTTCTATTTGAGATCATATATCTTCGATTTTCGAAATAGCTCAAATGACTTAATACTTTTATTTTTAAACTTAACAAATAAGTCAAGTCATAATCGATCATTATCAAGTGAATAAAAGCTATTTACATTATTTTCAATTAACTTAGTCGTATCAAGAACAAAACATAATATGATAAGGTTGATTAGATCTGATTTACTGAACATAAAAGAGGGGAAATAAGTTCTTAAGTTGTCTTTCTCCTACATGAACCAGTGCGATTGTTTTGATTCAATGCAAAGCAAACAAGACATACAAACATTCTTATATTAAAAAATAATCTTCTATATACTCTAAGTCATGTTTTACTATGAAATTTTGAGAGGAACAACTGGTTGAATAAAAATACTTTACTATGGGTATTAGTGGGTATTAGACAATATATCACATATACAAATAATGGGGCTGTTTTTTTTATATAAAAAAAAAAATTCAACCTCAAATTTGTCTTGTTTGAATTGTTTTACCAATGAATGATTTGTTGAACATTTGTACTATAATAGATGTTCATTTGTTAATATTAGGTTCACTAAATAAGTTTTCTGAAATTTCTCTCACACAGGAAGAGAAAAATTTTTACTTGTGATATATATTATAAAATAGATAATTTTTTTTTCTTTTCGTCCACATTAACTAGAGAGTGTTAGTTGATAATAACATGTCATTAGAGCTGATGATTAAAGTGTGCGCAAAAGTTTCTATGAGCAGGAAATTTCTGTGCTCATCCGCCGAGTGTTATTATTAAAGCAAAGTAAAAAAAAAAGATTTTCTTTGCTTTCTCTTCCTTTTCTATTTTCTTTTCTCTTTTTATTCTTGTAACTCAACGTCGTCAGCTCAACTAAAGTTTTCATTAGGTTTATAAATGTTGCTCATCTAGAACGCACACATAATTTATGCAATATGTTTTTTTCCACTTCGTACTCTGCATTGATTGGCATAGGTGTCGTAACTGCAATTCTATTTATAGTGATCTACTGTGTACGTTTAAATCATATTCATCGACATATTGCACCACTTCCCATGCAAGTTGTTGTTTTAGCTCAACCTTATCATCATCAACTGGATTATCCTCAAATGTGTTGGTCAGTACCTATGGAACAACCACCACCTCCTTATAATGCAGTTGTTACTCCGATGAATATTAACCGTAATATTGCACATTCTAGCAATCTATCATAGTTTGATATTGTTATTAATTCTTTTGGTAAATAAAAATTATATAATTATATTTGCGGCTCTATATGAATTTGTATCAGCTACATAAAGATGCAAAGTTAACAATTACAAATGACGCCCATTCTTATGTGTATGAATTATGTAAATAAAACCATAATTATCAAATGATTATAGTTCGACTAATTTATAAATCTAGTACTATTTGACAATCGGTTATTATTAAATACAAAGAAATGTCATTCAATAGCTCATCTTTTAGATTTTCGAAGAATATTTTCAAGAAAAACAAAACTTTTAGATTATTAAGGTCTGATTGCCTTCGGGAAATTTTAGGAAATCTTAACAGGAATCATTTTCAATTAATGACTATTGAAATCTAATTTCCTATAAAAATTTCACTTGAAAATCAAATATCAACATTGTAAGAGATCCTTGTGTTGTTTCGTAGACACCTCAAAAATATTAATTTTACTAAATTGATAGTACAATACTGAATTCAATACATTAAAATACACCCTCCCTCGAATATTTATATCTGAAGTTGTGTTATACGTTTTTTTTTCACACACACGATTTATTCAACATCAACAGCGATAACTATCAAGCCAACAAAAAAACTAGAAATAATTCTAGGTTAAGTAAAATGAATGATTGTAGTCAACAATAGTTTGTTACCATAATACATCAATAGAAAACTGATATTTAGAATCAACATTTACTATCGCTTACAAACACTTTAAATATGAACATTTGCTTTAATTTCTCTTTACTTATGACTAGGTTGAATATACTATATCATTAACTACTCTATTATTTAATTACCTGCTTATTCTATGAAACTTGGGATAACATGTCACATAATGATTGTGACATTGGTTGGCGCAGTTTTCTTGGATGTAAATGAGTCCGTTCCTTTGTTTTTGCTTAAACAATTCTTATATATTAGCGGACGTCATTGTTGATTCTGAAATATGAAATAGCGATGAATAGTCTACTGTCGCATGTATATTAAGACCCAAGCCACAAATCAAAGCAATCTTAGCACCTGTTGGGTTTTTTTGACAGAATCGACCGGTGAAAAGCCAATCTGTTTAATATATTTATTAATCAACTAGTTCTTTTGAGAAAACTTTATTACTATAGTGTCATGATAATATACAATGTGAAAGTCATATAACTTGTGCAATTTCTACTAGTAAGACTCCTTATTTTAATGTTTCACGTTCCATGTACGCTAATGCTAACAACAAAGGAAGAAATTTTTCAAAGCTTTTCATCTAGTAATTCATAACAACTGATATTGAACGATATCTATAATTCGTTTGGCCTAACTTTACTCATTTTTTTACAAAAATTGATAAGTTTTATATATTCTTATTTGAAATCATTACCTAACACAGCTGAAAGCTTCTCAGTTCACTGAAAGATACTACTGCTTACAAAGTACGAACTTGTACTCGGCTTTATATATTTGAAGTTTCTTAAAGCACGAATATATGTTTACAGTCGCATGATCCAAGTAGTTGACATAACTATTTCAATAGAACGGAATCTTTCCTTATATTTATGTATCGAAATGACGAAGTGGAAATTACAAACATTGAGAGTTGTTGATAATCAGTTGAAACTAGTGTAGAGAAAATAACTCGAAATTTCGAAGTGAAAAATCTTTCACTTATATGGATTTTAATTTCTGGTGGTTGACTAATTTTTAGTGCCCATAATAAGTTCATTTATCATAAACTGAAGTATTTATCGTGCAAATGAGAACTGGTAAACTCAATGTTTAAAACTAGAATTTTAATGATGCCTAGAAAACTATCAAGGTGAGTATTACTTTTTAATCGTATCCATCGTTATTTTACTGTTACAATGCTATGTTTAACAAGTTTATTTATTTTATTATTATTTGAATTGAAATCTACGTACGTGTTCTGACTAAAAGTCCATTTCGTAGTGTCTATAAATTAGATAAGACAAGTTAATTTATTTATCCTTAATAT